CAAAACAAAGAAATTAAAAAAAAAGAGCTCTGACACTGGGGACGGGTGTAGTCGCTGTTGTAGGTGGGTAGTTGAGAAGGTGGGCTTGGTAAAGTTATTTAATTTATACTTTTAACCAACCATAAATTATTGCAAACGAAAAACGATTTGCAGCGAAGTTCAGTTGTATATTTTTTTGAAAAGCCGAAATTTGTATGATTTTCGTCAACATTTGATATCAAAAAAAAACAAATTCTACATTAAGAAAAATTCCTATATTCCACCATCGGCTTTGATCTGAAGGTATTCTCCAAAACTCGTATTTGTTATACTATTTAATAAATTGTATAAATACAAATGATTTCCGTTCGGAAAGTGTTCAATTAAACGGCAAATATTTATGTTTGCTTTGGTCAATTCTTATCAGGGACTAATCGAGCAAGCGGTCATGTCTCCTACAGATACATAATTTCTCAATTTTTTTTTTTTTAGAATTCCTGAATCCTATTAATTAAAAAAAAAAACGTAACATATATTTAAAAATATTCAAAATATAATCAATAGTAAATTAATTAATACCTTTAGCATTTATAAGAAAGTTATACCTATATTGTTATTTGTGTTATAACGAAATTATTGCCCCCCTCCAGAGCCATTTGCTTTAGATCCATATCGGCTTCTTATCTTGTATAAGTGATGTCCATAAAAATCAATGTAATGATCGAGGGAGATTGAATCCAGGTGGTTTTAGATTCAAGTCGTCGTTAAGAGAAAAGTTTTTAACCCTGAATTTTGATTAGATATCGTTGCAACTACGAATACTTGTAAGTTGTATACTGTACGGTATAAATATTTTTTTTTTTCAAAGACAACGAACGCACATTGTTTTTTTTTTTTTATATATATATATCTGGGACGTTTTTATTTTATTTGAGTTTATTGTTCTTATATTCTTATATAGAGCAACGAATTAACTAATTAGAAAAAATAAAGTATAAATTACTTTAGTACAGCGCACGGTAGTAATAATAATAATAATAATAAAACCATCACGTTATACTGCAATTTAACACGAAATGAAATAAATACATTTGGTAGTATCTCGGATTATCTGTTTAGGACACGACAAGTTTAAACTAAAAAAATATACTCGTAATCACCCAACGAAAAAAAAAACAGAGTAGGTAGGTACCTACACAAGCATTAAACATTAATAATCTAATCAGCGCAGGTCTTCGCGATTTAACGCTAACAAACTGATATAATTACTCGATGAAATTATCCCCATTTGTTTTAAAAAGTTTTTTGAAAAAAAAAAAAGCGTAATAGGTACGCCTATATAATAATAGTTTATGAAAAAGTAACCGAAACATGCTATTAGTATACAATATGCATACATATTAATTTTGGAAACTTCCAGAGATTTTTAAAAATAATGTTTGCTTTTGTTAACGATTATAAAATTTTCACCCACCGATCGTTTATTAATTAACAACTGATTAACAATTATGTTATGAACACACTATCAATAACGTGACTATAATATTAAATCATATTATTATGTAAAATTAACGTCTCGTAGAATGTACAATAAAAAAGACAAAATATTAAAATGTAAATACTGCAGTATATTTATTTAAAAAAAAAAAAAAAAAATGTTATCAACTCATCTCCGTATAGTGTAATATCTGAAAAGTTATTATTATTGTTTTACATTTTATTATCATTAAAAATTCCAAAGACGTTCCCTGATGATATATTTCTCGAGTTAAGACCCCGTGTATTTTTTGGTGTCCCGCCGCGCTCACTGCTCACCTAACCTAAATAATCCTAAATTTCCTTTTGCACGATGTAAATTTCTTTCATTCTAACCACCTATAAACACTAGGTACATACCTACTCGATGTGTTCCCCATAAAATAGCGGGATACCTAGTTTGCATATAGATTGAAAGGTGACGAAGGTTACGCTTTTGCAGCCTTTAGTGACGTAGTCCGGCTACTGCTAGTGTTACGACTACGTCTATCTTGTAGTATACAGGGTGTACTCAAGGAGAGCATGAATAATTGTATAAAAGGGATATAAAATATATTGAATCCTCTCTCACAATACTCTACCGAGTTTGTAAACTATACATACACATGGCTACAAATATTTAGTAATTGTATGACCCGTTTAAAACACGGTAGGTAATTAAAAACAAACATGTAAGTGGGTATGGTATACGATACACAAAGTTATTTAATTTATATCTGTGTGCAGCTGTACGCATCATTTCTAACGAAACGTGATTCTTTAAAGTGAAATTTATTTACACACAAATAAGCGAAAAACACACATCGTAATAAAACATTTACAGAAGTATAATAATCGTTTTATAGTTCCGGAAACATGTAAGAATTATTAAAAAGCCGAACGTACTTTGATCATGAGTAGACCACTGTTGTAGATGGGAGGTCGGAATAGTATTTGTAAAAAAATGTTGTTGCATTTTGATACTTGATGTTCACGGAGGTAGTCATTTTTTTGATTTTTCATGTAGCTTTTAAAATAATTGGAAAACCGGAAAAAGATGAAAAATTAAAAAAGAAAAAAAATTTACGGCGAACGATTTTATTATTTTAAATTTGTACGTAGAATAATTTCTACCAGAAATATTGCTCTAAAAGAAAAATAACAAGACACCTTTTTTGTTGCATTTTTAAATTTGTTGGTGAGTGACAAAGTTATTTTTCGATTTTTCAAGCATTTTCGAAATAGTTAGCAAAAACCGAACATAAATATTGAAAGAGCGGACAATTTAGGAAAATTAGTTTTGTGAATTTTCGCTTTTATTATTTTCAATTTGTTCGTATTAGATTAATATTTATTATTTTTTTTTTTGTAAACAACTTTTCTACTAGAAACCTTGCTCTGATTTTTAAACGTAGCACTTTTCTGTGAAAAATCGGACTGAGGAGGTACTTTAGGGTGATCATTTTTCGATTTTCCCAAGGGTTTCCCCAGCAAATGCGAAAAACCGGAAAAAACATGGAAAAATCGAGAAAAATGTAGAACAAACAGGAAAATCGGTATGATATTAAACAAATATTATTAAAGAAAATACATAATGCATATTTAATTGTTTTACCATAATATGGCATACATGTTGTTGACAAAACATCACAATCAACTGAACTCCGCTCAAAATCGTTTTTTTGTTAGCAATGGTTTATCGTTGTTTACGGATACAAATTAATTTCCACTCTATGTATCCTGCATTCCCAAATTTCTCACCAACAACAGTGGGTTCACCTATCGTGCTAAGTATGTCCGTTATTTTGTTTTTATTTGTCCGTATTCCCCTAAAAATAGTTTTTAAGTCATATTTTTCTTTTTAGTTCATTTTCCAGTATTTTCAATCAAATTCCGCCAACTAACATCTTTATACACTTTTATTTGTTTAACACAGGCTGTATACGTGTTAGGTATTTGTGGGCTTGCGATATAACGATATCAGGAATATTAGTAATATCAAAAAAAGTCCGATAAAATACGAGTAATGGCAATAAGCGTTGATGGAATAAACGAAATTGAGAGTTTTAAGTAGCTAGGAGCTTTTGTAAAAAATAACGGTGGATTTCATGAGGATGTAAAATATAAAATTAAATGTGGTTCAAGTGGATCAAATCAAAAGGAACATAATGTGTTTTATGAGATAAGATTACTACAATGAGACTTAAAAGCGAGTTCTACAAAAATGTGGTGAAACCGACTATAGTTATGATTCGGAGTGTCGGGCTGTAGAGAGAAAAAAATGACAGAGAAAGAGTGTAATAGAGATAAAAATGCTTAAGTGGATGAGTTAAGTGACAAGGAGATAGAATAAGGAACGAGTACATAACTGGTAGCTTATTTGATAGTAGACAAAACGAGAAAAAATATATTGAGATGGTTTGGGCACGTCACGGAAATAGAAGAATCAGAAGCAGAATTCCAATAAAAAAATAAACGTTGACATGAAGAAGGGTCGAGGAAGACCGAAAAAGTGGTGGCCAGATGCGATTGAAAATGATATAGGGACGTCCGGCGATGCGGGACGGGAAAACCGTGTAATGTAGAAGTTAATTACGGGAATGGCCGACCCCGAGTAGTTGGGACGAAAGCGTAGGAAATGAAAAAAAAAGAAAAAGAGTGTAACATTATTATTGGGTTGGTATAGTAATAATATATCGAAATATTATAAATGCAAATTCGTCGTTAAGACATAATATTACTGGTGAATATTGTTTTAAGACAAAACGGGTACGTTACAAGTTTACAACACTATATAATCTACACGGCTGAATAATACAAGTGAGCTCGTATTATACGTAATATTGTGATACATTGTTTCGGCCATGGTATGTTTTAACCCCTGCATAATTAATGACTCGTGGCGTATTAAATAATATATTGTAATAATATTATATAATTATTCAAACATATATTGTACACAAATATAATATAATAATAAAATATGTTTAATATTCCGCGGTATTACGAGTGTACATTATTGTATACGCGTAATAACAATTCCGAACCGCGGTATACAATTAATTGTATAGAAACACGACTATTCCTGAAATATAATATTGGAAAGGACCGAATATCACCATGCGTACAAGTAGTATTATTTATTATATTTCACACCGACCTCTCTCTCAATCGCTATTGTACGAGTACATACCAACGTACCATTAATTCGTGTTAAAAATATTTTAATTATTTGTATACGTATGTATACGCTGAACTAAATTAAACTCGAACGAAACGCGTTATAGTAGACAAAATGATAAAACGTTATTTCGCGCCCGACATAATATAATACAATGATAATCAATTTACCTAAAAGCGTGTGACAGTGCAGATAGAACTAGCATAACCGAAATATTGAAGCGTTTCCATGTCCCAAGGAAAACAGTACATCTTATTGAAGCTAGCATAAAACTAGCATAAAACAGACAAAAGTCAAAGTCAAAGTAGGAACCACAACATCAAGGATGGTAGAGGTAAGAACCGGACTTAGGCAGAATGATGCCTTGTCGCCAATCCTTTTAAATGTAATACTAGAAAAGGCGATCCGAGAAATAAAAATTGGAAGAGACGAAGGAGTGATAATGGATAGAACTTACTTTGGTCTGCTCGCCTACGCGGACGATATAGTCTTGCTAGGAGAAAAGGAACAAAAAGTAGTAGACTTATGTAGCAGATTGATTAAAGGGGTAAAAAGGTGGGGCTGTATCTTGACACGGAGAAAACGCAATAAATGAAAGTTAGTAAGAAACTAGGTGACGATCTTACAACTGAGATCATAATAATGGGTCAGCACGAATTCAAACAAATAGAACAATTCAAATACCTGAGCACTCTTATAACACAGAAGAATAAATGTCAAATAGAAATCCAACATAGAATTCGGTTATATTCGACAACCATATGACCAATAGTCATACATGGCTAACAATGCTGGACGTTGTGAAGGACGAAGGAGGACAGATTACATGTTTTCGAGTGGAGAGTACTGCGCAAAATATATGGATCTGTATATGATTAGAATATTAAAAGATGGAGGAAAAGACACAACCGAGAACTAATGGAGATATTCAATAGGCCAAATATTGTGAACAAGATCAAACGGAGTAATTTGGAATGGGCAGGCCATGCATGTATAAAGTAAGATTCGGTGATACAAAGAGTGTTCCGAGAAAACCCAGGGAGCAAAAGACCGCTGTGTAGACCGCTGTCTACGTTGGGAGGATGAAATCATTAAAGATTTTCTAAATACTTGAGTAGGGGATTATGGAGACACTGAGACATGGATTGGCAGGAAGTAGCGGGGAACAGAGGGTAATGGAGCAGGATTTTTCTATGACAAGATGATCGCAATGGCCTTGAAAAAAAAAAAATCAATTTATCTCATTACCGGAGAAGAATAATAAATGATAACCATACCTATTTATTTATTTTTCCTCTGATAATCTGAACGGATATTTCTGACGTGCATTCGAGTTTACAACCCTATTTTCAATTTTGTGCTTTAAAATATAAAATAAGCCGATCAATATCAGTTATTTCACAATATAAAATGTTTTCGTCCACTCTGTTTTAACGGTCGGTATTATACTGCAGACGCAACGGATCGAAATAGAGCACAATAATGTGTTACACGCGAGTCTGAATACCAACAAAAGAAAAATTAAATACCGATTTTTTTTTCTACGTCAACTTTAGTTGTATCAATCTATATATATATATATATAGATAGATAGATTGATATAAGTCATATATGTTATATGTATACGACTTTCAGCTAACATTATTATACCTACAACACGGTGTACTATATACAGGGTTTTTCATCAACTTAGAAGCTTCTGGCAAAACGTATTATATGTATATAATAGTATTGTTGACATGTGGGATTTTTTTTTTTAAATATTCCAAGGAAAATAAAGAAAATATCATCTTATGTATAAAAATTAAAATCCATCTGTCTCTTATACTAGCAACGTACATTTTAGGGTTTAGATTGAAATCGGAGTTTAAACACAGAGGCGTTTAAAGAAGAGAAAATTTTCGAAAGTTGTACATAAAAATTTTCTAAAAAAATGTATAAATTTGTTTTTATTTGTAGACGACTACCGGAAAACTTGTTTCAATTTAAAAACGATTGAACACGAGGTGTATTAAAAGTTGTACTTAGTGGTCAAAATGTACTATGCATAATACTGTTATACAGAATCGTTAAAATCGTTAGAGACGCAAAACGCAATAATAACACTATATTAAACCGATGACGTCAATGATACGATGATCGTGTTACAATAGCTGCGTATAACCTTCGTATAAATCAATTGTAATAAAACGAGGGCAATGCATTTGAATACGATTTCCCGTCGCCGTATAGGCATGTAAGTAACCATACGTCGTCTCGCCGACGAGTTCATCGCAATACTCTTGTCATCGTGGGTAGTTTCAATTTAATCTGAGCTGCAGGTCTAAAGAAATGGCCACCGTATATGTTACAGTGTTACACATATATATATAATATAATATAAAGGGCTCGCGTTTTTCTCCAATAAACCGGCCGCCGTAATAAATTCCGGATCAAACCCGATAGATTTGAATGGCCGTTGTTAGGGCCGCCGCCGTCCAGAATCGAATATAGCCGAGACGCACTGCACATAATACCTTCTATATCGTGTAGATAATAATATAATCTGCACTCGTTCCATATTCGAATCAGTCCGGAAACGTTTTAATATGTGCCGTGGATACGTATTAATGGGATTATAAATATACCTATAGGTATAGCTGGGATTATAGCCAAGAATCATTGAGGCCGTGTTAAAATAATATATTATACGGGATAGATACGAACAATATGGTACAATTTGCGATTTTTCATACGGATAACAAAAAATTGATCAAGTGAAATATTTTTCAGGGAAATTATGATGAGTTGTATAAAATATTGTCCGGATCACCGAACCTCGAAAGGCTCGTAAAAAATTATCGATTTTATAAGAGCATGTGACATGTTGTAAGTTCTCCGGGTAACGATGAATAATATCGAGTGGATATTATTATATTCACTTGTTTTATGTGTTTCGCGATATAGCAGTGCTATTATCGAACAACTCGAGTTAAAAAAAAACCTAATAGAAAAAACACAATTCTTGTGCGATAACTGAACACCGGCAGAATGTCGGCTGCTGATAAAATTTGATATTATGATGATGAATACAGTGTAGCTAGAAATGATTAACCATAGTTGTTCTGCAGCCTGATTTTGCTCATGCCAAAAAAAATAATAGACGAATTATCATCCCTATCGTATCTAGGTAAACCATAAATACCAATACTAATATTTATTTTTTTTTTTTTTTTTTGTTTTGTTTGTTTTAACTTTGTTTTTATGTCATCCGTATCACCAAGGCGTAACACGTAAATCAACAAAGATAATTCAATTGTTCGTACTGAAAAAAATCCAATAATCCTGTATCACCCAGTAACAGATGTCGGAAGTGAGCGATTGGTGGCTTACTCCCCCTGGGATTGTCGTCACCAATATATTATGTTATTACCCACAGCTCAATACTTTAGTAATTATGCCCCATAACCCAAGTGGATTTTAAATCCGCCCCTTCACTGGGATATATTAACAACTGGTGCCAAATCCCCCGCTAGATTTTGAATACGGGAAAACAATTACCGGTACCATTTATGTTATCCCCGGTCTAGAACTAAAGTTATGCGAAATTACAGATCAATCCGTTCAGTAATTTGAGCGAGGAGTGATAAAAAATATGCATCTAAATAAACTTTCACGTTTATAATATCGCACAGGTGTTCTACAAACATAGTGCGACATCTTATGACATAATGTAGGTAATATCAAATTCTGTTTTGTTTTTATGTAACTCGCAGCCACAGATATTTGATATTTTTGTGTTTTTATGTGTATTTTTATTTGGTAGGTATCAGTTATTAAAATTGTATGACTCATACATTATAGGTTGTACTCAGCGGTCTAAAAACCAAAATTGAGTTTAATACATTAGTTTTTTTTTTTTATAATCATGTCCTTGTTTTTTAATTATTAATTTCGCATAATCAATAATATTTAATTTACCAAACTACATATGGTTTACTCAGAATTGTGAAAAATGATAAATATCGAATTACGGCCAGATTTCCTTTGCAATGCATTAAGAATTAAAAATGCGCAATACATTAATACCGTACTTGTTTATAGTAGTAAATGGGTAATAATATAATTAGGTAGCTTAAAACTGTTATAATAATGATAATTAATAACCGTCGTTTGCAAAGGTAATCAATGTTATAACGTGTTTCGTACATTAAGATAGGACGTCCACCCCAACCCTCTAACTCCAACTCCAGGAAAAATTTCTAAAACTCGAACGTTATTTCCAATATATTCCGAGAGTATTATCGCCGTCCCCACACGCGGTAGGTTATACGACAGTATTATTGTAAACCGGCGCGGATTTATGAAACCGTTACGACGTTACCATTAAACGTTTTTGCGCCGTTCCGGCAGGTTAATAACAATTATTGTATTGTACATTTTATACGGTCGTGGTAGTCGGTGCACACCCGCGGCCGCGCTAAGTTAAAGGTAGGGACCCCCGTACAACGCGCCCGTCCGCTACGTACGCTATGTAAAACGTAATCCGTTTTAATTCCGTTTCGCGTGCCAATACGCAGAAAAAAAAAAAACCGAAATGGTAAAACAATAATAATGGTAATAATAATAATACGTATACCGAACAGGACGGGCGGCGGACGGGAGACACGGGGATACGCATTAGTCGTAAACCGCGAGGCGGCGGATTAAAGCGTGAGATCCGAGCGAACGCGTCCGCCGGTCGGGCTTTTTGTTATTGCGTACGGTCCGGGCCCGTGTACAGTGTACACGCAGTGCGCAGTATTTCTATCTAGTCTCCTCCTCCTCCTCCTCCTCCTCCTCCTCCTCCCCCCCCACCCATCGCACACCCCCCTCGAAAACTTTACTCGGAAAACTTTGATTTGTAAATTTATTACGGCGCTCGTTGTTTTACGGGTAGTACACGGAATCGCGCCGGCAGTTTCGCCAAATAATATTATAATATACGTTGGTATTATAATACTCGTATACAATATTTATGTATATAATAATATTATTGTTACCACTTACCGCGTATTATTACAGTATTATAATATTCTAACGCGAGTACAGTACGGACAAGTGACGGAAACGCGAGAGTATAACGATAAACGCGGCGCGGTATTATACGCGTTAATATGTGTATACCTACCTGCGTTATCGTTGTATTACACGTCAACATATCAACCCCTCCCCCTCCCCTTCGTATGTATATTTTTTTTTTTTTTTTTAATACGGTATAATGTTATCGAAATGCAAAACATAACGCTTTTCGCGAGCGCGGTTTTATTTAACCGATGTTCCGAACATCCAAAACCGTAACAAATATCAATTGAATGTAACTATAGCGTTATATTTATTGTATCATGATTTACAACTATATTATAACACAGCCGTTTTCGTCTAAAAACTATAACGTGAGGAATCGAGAGTCGCGTAGACTGTGTGTGTTTTTTTTTTTATTCAGTTTTATTGTAAAACCAATATACAAATGCCCGTGTAAGACCTAAAGTAATCGATTGCTTTTTGTGTATTTTACACATTCTAGAGAGAGAAAAATCATTTTTACCGTATTTTGTTTATTTTTTTCGTTTATGCGTGTATCAATAAGCACCGACAAACCTGTCCACAATTTATTAAGTATACAGGAACTGTACAAATAATGTTCAAATAAGATAGACGTGTAGGTAGCAACACATAGATGTGAAACGTGGGTCATAAATGATATAGGAAAGAGAAAACTGGACGCCTTGATGATGTGTTGTTGGAGACGTATAGAAAGGATAAGTTGGATAGAGAATAAAACAAACAAAGACGTACCATCAGAACTGTAAAAGTAAAATGCACATTTTATGAATGCGATTCGACATTTGAGAATGGTTGGATATGCTCTAAGACACACAGAAGAGTTGCGCGATGTAA